ATTTATAACGCAAACGTATATAACCTGAAAATATTTCAGAAAAGATACCTCATCAAAAGGAAAAAGGATTTATGGGAAAGGCAAGAAAATCAAAAACACACTTTCAAAGACCTTGCCAACTTTTATAACCGAATATAATAACTAGTCTATTTATATAAATCGTGAAAAAATTGCTGGAAAGTTAAATCACAAAGTGATTTTCGAAAGTTGGTTTTTTGTTTGTTGCTGTTTTATGGAGAAAGAAGTGTAACAATGATCTCACGGTGATTTTTTTAATAATAACTATTTTGTATTTTCTCTAATAATGCTAAACTCTAACCTTAATTAACAGTAAATATAAAACGCATTTGATATGACTATATTTTGTTTTATTTATTAATTAAATAATTTCATAACATTCAAACTGTTGTCAATGGGTCCTTATCATATTCGCTGACTAAAACAAGAATTTGGTTATCGAATTTATTCTGTAGTTTTGATGAAAATCCTCGTAAGAATCCTCTTTCAGAATCCGAATGATTAGTAAGTATGACGGATATACCTCTTTGGGTAGCATCTAACACATCATGGTGGAGCATTTCTCCTAAAAATAAAAAATTTGCATGTAACAAAATTATTTTATAGTATATTTATTTTACCTATAAATTACTAGTTATGATTCCAATCTCTTTTTCTAATCTAAAAGACATATTAAACAAAGTTCTTTAATTTGCATGAAAAGAAGTAAGTTTGGATTAACATGGCAACTCAAAGTTTTACAGTGTTGTCATTGTACAAAAAAAATTCATTTTATTACAATAATTTATATATTTATAGCTATGTATGATGGACACTGACCTGTTAGAAAAAGATCTGCGGTCAGAACATTTTTTAGCACAGAGCCTCCGGAGCCCGCGCAAAGTGCCACAGTCTGTATGGTATCATTCATAGATTTACCACAGCCCATAGCTAAACGAACATGTTTCAAACTTGTCACTTTCTTCACTCTAGCCACAGCATCGGTTAAAGAAATGTTCGAATTTAAATTTAAAAACCTGTAAGAAAAAAACAAAATGGCTAACAAATTTTTAAAATTCGAAATGGCAACACTATCATCAAAAGATTCTGTACAAAAAAAAAGTAGAATTATAAAGATTGAATGCATGATTGAATTACAGAAACCATGAAATTGAATACAAATATTAATATTAAAATGTTTTGTCCCTGTTTTTTCAATGAGTTTAAGACAACATATGCTTGCATACAAATGTTTCGACATTTCGAACCATTAGAAATCATATCTTAATTTAATAAATTACCTTCCAGCGCCAGTATTAGGAATAACACCTGGTATTATGGGTGTAGATTCACAGTAAGGGAAGGAAGACGCCAACCAATCATTGACACCTCCCTGTGTGCTGTCCCAACTTGTGTGTGGAGAATACAATGATATTCGATTCTCTAACAGGAAGGAAACAATGCGCTCTTTCCATGAACTGAAAATATAACATTTATTAAAAGTTACAAATTAGTTCTCTTATTACAGTAATAAAATCTTACTAATATTAAAAATGTGAATGTTATGATGGATTTTGGTTTGTAGGTATCTCTGGAACGGATCAACAGAATCTGAAATTTGGCACAGCTGTAGAACAGTCTGGAAGAACACAGAGGCTACTTATTAAGTTTTTTTTAATTCCGCGCGGGTGTTGTTAAAGATAAATAAATTAAATTTGAAAAAAAAACAAATTAATAAAATGGGGACAGAATATCAGTTGAGTTCAACCTTAAATATAACACTACATACCTTTGAACAATAGATTTTAAGGGGGCAAATATTGGTGGATGATATGATACAATCATTTCACATCCATGATGATATGCTTCCAGGGCCACTTTCTCCGTCAAATCGTTTGTCAATAGAATTTTGGTGATAAGCCTGTAAACAAATAAACTTTTGACAAAATGCCCTTTTCCACCAATGTACTATTGAAATATACACAACCATAACCGAAAATAGTTGCATGTAGTCAATAAGCTATTTAGTGGAAATGGCACTTAAAACATCAATTTATTAATATAAAGTTTCACTAATGTATAGCATTACATACATACCTTGTAGTATATGGTTGTACCAACAGTCCCGTATTGTCCCAACTCTCAGATAAAACTTTAGGAGCAAACTCTTCAAGAGTATTTATTACTTCTGCTAACATAAATCCATTTCCTTCAGAGTTAGACATGTTCTGGCTTGCAGCAAAAGAAAAAAATCTTTTAATTCCACTTGTCCTTAATATATTGTAGTATCTTATTGAAAGGAACATTAGAATACTGAAAAGATAAGACATTGCAAACCAACTTTTGTCCACAATAAAAGATAAATATCTTTTGTAGAAATAAGTATGTTTAAATTATAAAGTTCTATTATGTCTATATAACTGAATGACTAAAACTCATACCTATATTTACAATTATTTATATTTCGAACCCACAACAGTGTTGTTTAACAATGAACAATAGTTACAATAAAAAATATATATAAAACTTATATCTTAATTTTGATACAGTTTTTCTTTGTTCGCAATGTTACAAAGATTTTTTGTAAAGTATTGCAATTATTATTTAAAATATTGTATAAATATATAAACTAATTTATTTGCTTATCAAAGCTATTCGGAATATTTCCATATTTTTATTTCACCATCATCACTGCATGAAATTAATTCTTCATTTCCCATTGGGTTCCAAGTTACGCAGTTTACATCTTGTGAGTGTGCATTTAACTGTGTGGATACCAGTTCGAATGTAGGAGCATTTGGATCTGAATCATCTGCTTCCTTGAATATTCTTATAATATCATCACCACATGCTGTAGCTATAAGACCAGTTTTTGGGCACCATGCAATGTCATAAACACATCTTGTATGGTATCCAGATAATGTGCAAACACATTTCCATATGGATTCCTTATCAGCTACAATCACTCCTTCAGGGTTATCAGGTTTATACTCTTTCCAGATTTTAACTGTCTTATCATCACTGCAAGTGGCAAGTCTTTCTCCAGTTTTATCAAATGCGAGACTCCAAACAGTAGATTCATGTGATTGTAAAGTAGCAACACAGGACCAATCATTGTCTAAGCTATCTTCTTTATACATTTTCACTGTGTTATCATATGATGCTGATGCCAGAATATCTAGGGAAGGGTGCCAAGCCACCTACAATAACAATAACAACATTTTATCTTTGCTAATGGTAACTAATCAGTTAAAATATGAATATATACTACAAACTTTTTTGACATCTTGATTGTGAGCATTAAGAACAGCCTCACATTCATATTCATCATCTCCTGCTACTTCCCAAACCCACACTGACTTGTCCCGTCCACAAGTTGCTAAGAGTTGTCCCGAAGGTGACCAGGCCACACTTTTTACTTCATTCTCATGTCCCTCTAATGTGGCATTGCATTCAAACTGACCTATTAACATATAATTTTGTGTTACAATCAAGAATGTAGGGAAGTTTCCAAATATTTCATTTCAAATACACACCACTTTTCTTGTCCCAAATAGCAGTTGTCGCATCAAAGCTTGCAGAAGCCAGAAAATTTCCACATGGAGACCATGCCACTTCTCTAATAGTGCGTTGGTGTCCATCAACAAGAACGGTCTTCATAGTCCAGTCCTGGCCTTCTTTACTCCATAATTTTATAATTTTATCTTCTCCACATGAAGCAAAAACTTTTCCTTGGGGATGCCATGACACATTCCAAACAATACCTTTATGACCAGTTAAGGTCTGTAGCAGTTCTAATCTACCCATAATTGCCTGCACACAATGATATTTTATTTTAATGTGTTACTTTTCTATCATCCTTCATTATGTTGAAATAGTTATACACATTTGAAACAATCCAAGAACCAGTGAAAGATTGGTTTGCATAAAAACTTTTTACATTTTCAGCTCTTCATATATGGACATTGTAAGTCAACCATAGACATAAACAATATAGGGTGAGGTAAAACAGCAAGTTCTATCTACATTTAATCAAACAATTAAACATTAAGCTACCATAGCATAACATATTAGGACTAGTTAGTATTATAGTTATTAGTCATCCTACAACTTTATATAGTAAGATTTTTTTAGAAAGCTATGAACATTTTTAAAATTATAAAGATAGTCCATGAAACATTGGATTTGATCAAAATGTGGGTGGGGAAAAAAAGGTAACATAATATTAAAAATCTACCACAACTATTATACATAACAGCGTGACTTTAAAAAATAACTTATAAATAATTAATCACTCAATTACTAAAATCCTATTGAGTAGAAGTAAAGATTTCTAACCTTAGTATACCAGATACGAATACTCGTTCAAATCTTTTAAGCAGCCAATTGCTTTTCCACTTGATAAAATATTTCCACAATTTGTTAATTGTTTTCAACTATTTTACCATAAGCACTGGAACTAAACTGCAGTAAGCAGACAGAAAATGCTAAGTCTGAATAATTCGATAAATCGAGGAATTGAAAAGTAGTTTATCTTGTCAACTGTCAGTCATTGCCATTTGACAAATGATAAAATGATAGGATAGTTTTCTTATCAATTCATGAACTGAAATAGAAAATATTTTCATATTAATTGTTGGAAAAATAATAGATATTCTAGAAAATTGTTACCAATCAATGTTTATTATTTATAGAAATGTTTATTTCTAGTTTGTTTTCTGCTTGCGTGGAAAGAATAAATGAATCCTTTATATTATTTAGTTTGGTTTAGTTTTAGTTTATAGTATTATTTTGGTAGATTAATTTTAATTTAATTAGTGACTTAATAATTAATATAGAGTTAAGTAATTCAATAATAAGTTTATGTATATATTTTTAAGTTATTCTATAGTATACATATATCCTTTATCTTAACTTCGTATTTCGGAACTGGCAAACTGGAATTTCTCTTCTGTCAACCAAAGAGTATATAAAACTGCTGTCAACTGTCAAGTCTAGCGCGTACGAAAAAAAAAAGATTTGAATGAAATTAACCAAACTAATTATAAAATATAGTTAATACTTCTAAAAATGAGATTTTAGATGAATTTTACTTAAGTTCTACAATCTAACTTGTTAATGTAATAATTATATAAGTAAGGTATTGGAATCAAAAGATTTTTGCAATCTTTTCAACAGTTGCATACATTACTAATAGAGGAGTGTGGTTTTTAAGTAATATTATAATTTTGATATGGATAACAATAAAACAATAGTACCACCGCATCTTAATGCTGAAGTCTACAGGTCAGATACAACTGGAACAAGTACATTGACTTATTTGGATTATATTCGACTTCATCCAGGTGAGCACATTTTATATTTCTTTTATACAACCTTAATTATCAGTGTTTTGTATAACAAACCTAGGGAGTCGTTGTTACAATAAACAACAGTCCCGCTCACAAAAATTTTTAATTGTCAAAAATTAGAAAACAAATAATCATTTACCAGTAAGTTACATTGGATGAAAATATGTTGAATTTTTATTTTATAGATGGAACAATATTAGTTGGATGTTCAGAATTAACTGGACGCTACTGGAATGGCGGTGTCAATATCACACAGTGTGAGGGTAAAAATAAAAAATTTAATAAAACTGATAAAAATAGCATAAGTCTAACAAGCGGGACAGCGGATGGATGTTTTGTTGAAAATTCTAACAAGGTAATGTTTTCAAATTATTATTTTTTTCACATTCTGTTAAAAAAGTGGAGACAATATGTATGCCACAATATTCAAAACCGATAGTAACACAAACATCCTAATATACACTTTCATTTGGTTAACTTTTTTATCTCTTAATATAAGTCACAGTCCCACTCACCCTGATGAAGGGGCCACCAACGGGCTCAAAGCTAATCAGTGGTTACATATTAATTTTTAATCTCATGAAAGTTTAGTAATTTAATTTTTTTTAACCTTATCTAACTAATATAATTGCAAATGTTTTGATGGATAGGTGAATGGATGGGTGGATATTTGTTTGTAGGTATCTCTAAAATGGTTGGATAAATCTAGCTGAAATTTGGCATAGATGTAGAACATCTATGCCATAGTCAGGAAGAACACATAGGTTATTTTTAAGTTATTTTTTAATTTCGCACAGACTGTCGACAGCTAGTATTAATAAAATTGAATGTGTTTGGGGGGTTGTTTTAATACATATGGTCGTGTCAGTTTTATTGCAGTGAATATAATAACCATTTTTTTTCCAGGTATTATTATGTGAGGATAGTGGTGCTCTCAGTGTGTGGACCAGTAGTGACGATGCATGGAAGCAGTGGACCGAGGAGTTGTCAGTAGCTGAACATGATAATATGGTGCTCTCAGTTGACTGTTTGGAATCCGGAAAAAAATATATTACTGCTGGTGCTGATGGTAATGTGAAGGTAAAAATGATTACTTACTTGTCTTCGATTATTTTATTGCATATTTAAGTTTTTAACATTTCATTATTAATAAAAAATATACAGGATGTCCCAGAATGAAGTGTACAACAGAGTACCACAAATTCTTTGGTTGAAAATGTGACAATTTAACCCTACTTACTTGTAGCCGGTAGAATCTGTGGTATTCGGTTGTACACATAATTCCTGGACACTCTGTATATCTTCCCAAATATTTTATTAAAGGTGTGGGATATCTGTGACTTGGTTTGCATAAGAAATTATGACTCGGCTCACACAATGGCGGTTAACACCGTTTCTGTTAGACCTAAATCGCACACTTTTGCAACTGGATCATTGGATCAGTTCATTAGTTTGTGGGATGAAAATATATTTCAACCCGTTTGTGGTAAGTTACAACTTTTTTAATAGAATCCTTAATTTGCATGTGTTTTTTCTGGATCTGCCTGTTTTTTTGTCTATTATATGTTTTGTAACCTTGTAAGTTTAGCATTTAATGACACTGAGACTTAATCTTTCTAGTTTATATATAAAATACATGTGTGATGATTTTTGTTACCATCAAAGACTTATTGGTATGTATGAAAATTATACATTTTTTGTGGCTCTAGGTAATTATGCTTTTCAATTTCAGACATTGTCAAAAACAACTGTGGTATTCGCTGTCTACAATGGTTAGATGAGAATCGTTTGGTATTTGGAGATGATGCAGGTGTACTGAGCATACTGGATATTAGGAAGCCAGGAGATGGTACCAAATTAATTGAATTTCCTGCTGCTGTACATAAAATTGCTGTTAAGTCAGGGTAAGATGTTATATAGAACTCTGATATTTTTTTTGTTTTTTAGTTTCTTTGACAGTATGGCAGTTTCTCTAATAGAAATTTCTCACTTGCCTTTTTTAATATTTATATGTACTTTGGATGTATCTAATTTTTTAGTAGCCCTTTATAAGTTAGCCCGACTTAGTCGTAATAAAAATCTTGTAATAAAAAACAGTGAGAGTTTTTAAGATCAGTTCAGTAATTTTGGATTGGATTTAATGCAAATAATAAACACACAAATGTTGCCTGTTTATAATATTTAGTATACTTTAAGTGACTTAAGTTTTGTTTACAACATATTTTTTTTTTTCAGAACAAATAAACTTGCAGTATGCTGTGATAATAAAACAGTAACTGTGTGTGAAATTACGTCAGATAGCAAAATTAATACGATATATAAGAATGGAAAGTTGCACAGTGGGTTTGTTAGAGGCTTGTCATGGGATTCGAGAGATGAGGATGTTTTATACTCTGTGGGATGGGATGGTGAACTATGTAAACACAATGTTAATGAAAAACGTACAAAAGAACATTCTTAATGTATATTTTCATAATAAATACATATAAGTGTAACGTTATGTGTTTTTATTTCAAAAGTTATTTACTAAGCTAACACAACTTGGTAGTTTTAAGCCTTGAACATGAAATAATTATAACCATGTTTCCACTGACGAAACAATCAGCAAAAACCTTATAGTTATCTTAGTTTTATGGAGAATTAGAGAAACTACAATATGTTTTAAATGAATTAGTCGACAGTGGAAACTAACGATAAAAAGGACACAAAAACTGACAAACAATAAATGTTTTGTGTACATAACAATGGCTGAGATTTAATATATGTAAGGATTAAGCAATCAAAAGCTTTTTAAATGCTGAGGAAATTATTTATTATAGAATAGATAAATAGTTATTGTGGCAGGCGTTGTAGTTATCAATGTGCGGAGGGGGAAGGAGCGCGGCGCTCCGGGGAGGGGCTGGGCGAGGAGCCGCGCCGGCCCGGCTGCCCAGGGCTCTTCAGACGCACCATTGTGTCTAAATGTCGAAACCTGTGCAGATAAATATTAAATCATAGTCTTTTTAACGTACTACAAAGTGCATTTTGTTTTTATTACGGCAATGCATCTTTGCTTACAATTAATGTACGTCGAGATCTAGAAATAAAAAGGTAAAGAGTAGGCAACATTTCGAAACATATTTTTACTATTGAAAGCTTTATGGAAGGATATCATATCAATATATGTATTCTAATACGTACCTTAATGGCAAATCGTTGTTGTCGTTATCGACACTTTGGAAGAAGAACGCTAGAGGCCAGCTGATCCAAGAAGATTGTTTGCTGAAACAATAAACATCAATTAGCAGTAGTATGCATGAGCATTTAATCGTCAACTATTCTACATTTATTGACAATGATTTTTTTTTCAATTTGCATTTTTATTGTGATTTTTTACACAATTCCCTTTATGTAAAATATTAACACAATAAATTAAAGTTCTGTTTTATATTTTGTTACATACGGTGTGGTAGGCAGTGCACCGCCCGCGTCCGAGGGTGTATCGGGGGTAACAGGGGCGGCTACGGCGGCAGCGGGCGGGGAGCCGGGCGTGGTGGGCACGGGCGGTGGTGTCTTGTTGATCGCCGGGTTGTAGATCTTGGGATCGCTCACCATGCGTACGAAGAACGAACGCTTGTGGGCCAGAGCTGCGCGGTGGCGTCGCGCCCTTTCTTCATTTAAGTCCTTCAATAAACGCATACGTAAGAAATAAAATTTTAGTTTAACACTTTAAGAAAAGGCGATCACACCTTCACTGGGCTTAACGTAAACCTCGGTTAAGAGTAACTAGGTTCGACGGCCTCAGGAGCCTCGATACTGGCTGTTAATTCGTTATTATTACCGGGTAGAAAGAAGTATACTTAATGTAAAAACATTTCAATGGATTACTTTAACTATTCATTGAACAAAATCTTTTATTTGGTTTTTAAAATTCTTCAATGTAATTTATCTCAACTTACTCTTTCCTTATCGGGACCCTCGAGTAGCTCGGTAGCGAATTCTGTTATGATATCCCAAGCGATCTCTGTAAGTTAAAGGTATTTATATAGTGAAGCCAGAGTTATTTTAGTAAATGATTCGTGGCAATAGAATGTTCAATTTTGTTTTCTTAATTAAACCCTTGCTTTTATTACTATATTATTTTCCAAGAGAAAATTGTTTTTCTAATTAGTGCTCTATGGTTTACAATTTAAATTGATAATAATACTAGTAACAAAAATATAACATTAGCAACTATAACACTCAGAGTCTAAGTCTCAATTTACCGATGTCTTCCCGCGTGGCATGCTGGTAGACGACACAGAACCGGATGACGAAGCGGTCGCGCACAGAAGCGGGCACCATATGAATCTTGCCCGAGGCATTGATGTTAGTCAGCAGCTTCTTGTTCAGCTCGTCTACCTGCTCGCCCGTTTCGTCCGGACCGCCCACCAGACGGAAGCAGACAAGCCCCAGCTAGAAAATCATTAATGAATTGAGGAATAAGCGCAGTCATATCTTCCACATATTTCAAGTAGAGGAGATTTATATTTATTAACTGACTTAATACCTTCACTTGGTTGCAGACTTGGAACCTTTCATCTTTCTTTACTAGTTGTTCAAAATACTTGGCCAGTTCGCAATGGCGGCGCACGTACTTCTGCAAGCCAGTGATGCCGTAGCTCCTCAGCATGAACCAGAGCTTGAGGGATCGAAAGCGTCGGCTCAATGGCACGCCCCAGTGTCGATAGTCAATGGCGGTGTGGTCGTAACAGTGCTGGAGGTACAAAGGATCGACGACCAGAGCCGACGTGAGGAGATATCTATTGGTCACCCACAGAAGGGAACAATCGAAGTTCGTTAACATCAGTTTATTGGGATTGGTGTTAAATGAATCGGCGTACTCTACACCAGCCAGATGGTACTTGTGCTCGGGACAGAGGAACGCGCTGCCGGCGTAAGCTGCGTCCACGTGCAGCCACACGGAGGGGAACTTCCTCACCACGGGACCTATCTCAGTCAGAACGTCAAAGGAACAAGACGAAGTCGTTCCTAATGTGGTGCCTACAAAGAATGGAACCAGGCCAGCTTCCTCGTCTTCTTCCATTGCCTGAAATTAGGTAAGTAATATAATGTCTTATTTTTTTGGATGGATATTATTTTCAATCGTGGCCTATGTTGAGTAATGTTTGCATATGTATGCATGCAGTGCATATATTTTGAATGCCAAATAGTAGACAACGCAGAATATTAAAATAGTGTTTATATAATAATATGTCAAAGTAATTTTGTGACCGTAATAAATAAATAAAAAGTATTTGAACAAATATTTCGTTTTCATTTGCATGCGTAGGATCAGAATGACATTCAATTGAGTGAAGATCGTTTTAATTAAAGCGATCTTCATTTCTGAAAGGGAAGAATGGTGAATTTCAGTATATTTGCGTCATAGAAAGTTGTTCACAATGCGGCCGTGTCTGCCGGCGCGCCACGTATTTCCGGAATCCGCGGCCGAGTCATTAAACGGCCGGCAGCGATGCCTGCGGAACATCACGCCGCCGCCTCACGCCGCGGCACGACACCGCACGCCTTTTCAATTATCTCTCGATTATCTTCACCGCGCCATAGAATCTTTATACCTTACCACTCCTACTTTTATTAAAATATTCATGATTTTCTATAGAAATTTTATATGGCGACCAATTGTGGTCCTGAATAATCACATGATATAAAACAACTAACTGTCCTTTATCTAAAAGTAAGAGTAGAGTAAACGAGTAAATTTATCAATCAAATTACGGTAATTTTATTAATATCTTGTACGTTAATAATTAACTTACTTGTTTCAAAGTTTCCCCCCTAAGCGCTCCTTGTTCATCAGGCTCCAAAATGCGCATCTTAACGAAGCAAATCATCGCCGCTTTCTCAACGCAAGAGTGCGCCTCTTTCGAGCAGTATGCAATCAGCTTCGACAGCAAGAGACCTTCGTCCACAGTTGGGAACTGATGCTTCAGACGTTTTATACCGTTAGCTCTCGCAGCGAGCATGCATACAAGCACGCATTCACTTGCAGAACCCTACGGATATATTACAAAATTTATCATCCACGAAATAAAGGTAAACCTTTGCACCCTGAACCCGTTGTAAATGACTTATTGTCATTTTGGTGGACGAAGTTGGAATTTCCGGCGTTGCGAGCCTAATGGAGGTCGCACAACCTCCCATCAGCGTTAATTGTCAATTTTACGGGGTAAAAGACAGAACTAACATTTGTCGACAGTTTACAAGGTGTTGAATAACTGGAAAAAGTGTTTGTTTCTAAATAGAAGTGAAGTTTTTGTGATATTTCATGTTTGTAATCTTTCACAAGGAACTGTATATGATTCGCTTAAAAAATAATCAAATAACTAGTAAAAAGCTGGTCTTAAATACGAACTAATCCTATTAGGATCAGTACTATTAGATGTTATAAAAAGATAATTTTATTTCAAAACCGTGATAACTTACTTCAATAACGCCGCCTCCCTTGCTACCTTCTTCTAGAGCTAGAAAAGCTGGAGGTAATCCAATAGCTTTTCCTGTAATATCACATACATTATTGTGTGAATCTTTCAAAATGCAGTATCTTAAATATTTCATATTATTTTGAACATGTTAAATGCTGCCAACTTGTCAAACAAAATAGCAAAATTACAGAACGTGATATTTAAATGTTTACTTTAAAACATCTGATTGAAATGCTACATCTCTAAAACAATTACCACACATTATTAATGCTTACCCATCCAGTCTAACATAATGATTTCTAACTCCGTATTCGCAGGAGCCGCGGCCTGTAAAAATATATAATAGATTATTTATTTGCAACAACGAATAATTATCTCCTTCATGCCACGAGTTTAACGACTCTCGTAAGTCTCATGTTTTAATACATAAATTTTTATCGAACCAAAAAGCTTCTAGAAAGAAGTTTTCTGTCATATTTTTTTATTTTATACATAAATACGTTGAACGACGGTAACACAATCAACAAATGCAACCAAGCAGCAGTTACGACAACGTGATAACAAGGCGATAATGATTCCAGGTTTCAGGTGATTAGTATTATAATTAAAAATAAAAACGAACAATCAAGGCACATGGTTATTGTGCAATTTCGTAGTAACTTAAGTTACAGTTTAACTGTACTGTGAAATATAAATAATAACATTTTTAATAAATAAAATATTTCTATTATATTTTAAATAATATTTAAACCAGAGCGAGTTAAGGCGAGGAATATTTTCTTAGCATTGGTAATCTCTAATATTTAGATGGTACGATTCCTGATGAGAATTTCGTGCTTTTGTTAAAAAAAATATATCTAGAATAAAGTCTGCTGTTTACATATTAAATAATTTTTGTTTTTAACTAATTATTCTCTACAATTATAACTATTACCTTGATTGCCTTTGTGAAAAGGATGTCGATTTATTTTTGTAAGTCTTTTTCCAATAAAAACTGTGATACGATTTAAAAAAATCATGC